ACACACACACACACACACACACACACACACAGAGGAAGAACATACGTGAACACATTCCGTCCAGTTTTTCCGACCGGCTCTGTGGGACCCGCACCACGCTGTGTCTGCATGACTCAGCTGGTTATCGCCTCTCTCCACGCAGCCCCACACGTCACTTGTCTGAATCTGTTGAACAGACCTTACATAACCCCAGGAAGTGACTTATATTGCCGACGTCTATATGGAGAAGTGTTGTCACTGAACTCGGCTACATCTAATGTCACTTTCCTCTGTGACTCAGTGGGAATTCATCTCTCCACGGTGGGAAAGTTCACATGTAGCCATGACATTTTGATAGGACGTGCCTGACAGTGAGACGATAGTGAGTGTTGCTTTGTTCGCCCTCGCTCGGCCAAATACTGGTTCTGCTGGCGGGTATGGCAGCAGTGATGGAAAATTACAATGTTTTCCCAGGCCCCTTCGGATCTCTTGACAGTACTCTGTTGTCATCGCGCTCCTCGGCCCTGCCTCCAAAAATGACTAGCCGAGAGATAAGCGCTAAGCAGGTGAATTGTTTCTTTTAGAATATGGTCATCTCGGTGCAAAGCCAGCAGCAGCCTCTGTCTGAAGCTGTCTATGTGGATATGCAACACACAAAACTACTTAAGTTATGGAGACAATTATGGTTGTCCAGTAGCGCCCAGGGCCGCTGTCATGCCTGTCTGGAATAACATGCTGTCGGCTGGGACAGGAAACTGCCTGGGTTTGTTGAATTTACAGTTACCATACACACACACGCACACACTCTCACAGAGGGTTTAATGAAACCAACCTGCACCGGTATGATATCCCCTGGGTCATCTCTGTCTCCGACGCTTCAAGCTCTGTGTCCCATCTTCCTCTCCCTGTTGCAGCCAGACTAGGCTTACTACAAAAACACAGAGGAGCTACAGCAGAGCAGCACAAGCTTAATGTGGGAGAAAACTGCCTGCTTTGCCCCCATCTCACTGTGCTGACCGTATAAACAAGTCTGCCTTGTGGACATCTGTCTCCGCGTGTATAATGGATGATCTAGCTGAAGGCCCTGCAAGACAGAAGGGGCTAGGTGCCAGAGAGAGATAATGAACCTCATTTCAGTCGTGGGAAATGTGGGGAGGCTTCAAGTATATCTAATTTGAGTAAATCAGACACCGATGTAAAGCAAATTCAGGACCATGCTAGAGGCCCGATGTCGACACGAGACCGGCTGGAAGCACTCGGAAATGGACTCACTTTCATCTGCAATCCCTCAATATCTCTGCTGATAGGAGTGAAGCCGCGGCAGGAGAGGCAGCATGTTCCTCACCTTATCGTCCCCTCATTACATACACTTACAGTAATGCACCCTTCCTTTCTTCTATTCCTCCTCCTACTGGGGAAATAAAGTTAGTATAGATGGTTCTGTGCATGGTGTTGCGCAGACGGGGGGCCTGCATCTTCCACGCCGAGCTCTGCATCTCCTGAGGTGCAGCCCGATCTGTCCCACTGCTCGACATCTGCCATCCCTGCCCTCGCTCGGCTGTAAACAGCAGTTGACATGCAAGACACGCAAGGCTGACCATGTTAGCTGAAGCCCCCGTGTTTATATGGACCCTTTTCATTTAGGTTTCTGGAAATGTGAAATGTTGCCTCTCTCTGTTAACGGAGCATGAAGATGTAGCTCCTCTAGTAAATTCAAACGCTTTAATTAAATCAATGACAGCGAGCTTCCTTTTCACTCTTCTTGTCATCCTGATTTTGGTGGCACACCTTCGGCCAGCTCCCAAACCGCTTTGCATGTGCCACCGAACTGCATGTGTACATTTCCCAAAGTCATCTCTTCCACTGGCAGAGGACAATGTGATTATTTCTCACCTCATTCTGGAGATTATTCCTTTATCGCTAGCAGAGAGGAATGGTTACAGAGCCTGAATAACCTGCATGGAGAAAGAAAATTTAATCAGATTTGCAGCGTTGACTGGCAGCACATCTGATAGCCCCTGGAGCAGGCCTACAGATAAGCGCTGCGTCCTTATGAAAAACAGGCCTGCTACCTCTGCATGGCAGTCACAATAAACAAGGCTGCCTGTTTGTTGCCGCTGTCCCTGTCGCTGTCCTTGCATTGCTTGACAATCTGCTTGTTTGCTTAAACCCAGACAGGCTATATCATGACCTTGTCCTGCTTCCTTCATTACATGCATTCATTCACAAACCTAAAAGCAAAACCAGAACCCAGAATTAGCACCCTGCCTAGCAAATCAATTCCTGCTAGCTATGTACTTTTACATTAAAGCAAATATGTGCTTCTTTCCCCTCGTATTTATCCACAACCCAAGCTGCAGTGTTTAATTGAAATGAAGCAACATGATATTCCACATCGGCTTCCCAGAGCTGCCTCAGATCATATTTTGGCTAAGTTGTCTTGTGTCAGCTCTTTCAGAAGCACTGAGGAAATTGTGTCCTACGTGAATGGCTTCTTTTACGACTCGCTAATGGCAGCATTTATTGGCTTCATGTTTTTTGTTTGTTTTCACATCTTTGGAAATGGATAAAAATCTCAGCGAAGGCGCCAGGAGATATTTCAAGCAGCGCTATGAATACCAGTGCAAATGTTTATAATGTCACTAAGGTGCAAGGTTATCACTGGGCCCTGTAGCACACAAACTGACACCCTAACTGATGAGGCCTTGTGAGTATTAATAGGTCTCTCTATGGGAACGAACTGCAGGAGAGATTTTTCTCTGTCGTCTCTACAAACATCTGAGACCTTGAATACTCAATCAGCCGCTTGAAATCCTGTGTTTGTGTGTTTGTCCCGTGCATCCAGGTGAACATGACGTCGGATCTGGAGGGGAGCGACATGCTGGCGGAGAAGGCCGACCGGAGGGAGTTCATCGACTTGTTAACCAAGATGCTGACCATTGACGCAGACAAGAGGATCACCCCCATCGAAACACTCAACCACCCCTTCGTCACGATGTCACACCTCCTCGATTTCCCACACAGCACACAGTACGAGATCTTGTTGTGTGCATAATTATCATCTTGAACGGCGCGGCAACATCTGTCGAAGACTTACAATGCTCATCCCCCCGTCCTCCTCGCTCTCTCTCTATCTCTCTCCGTGCAGTGTGAAGTCATGCTTCCAAAACATGGAGATCTGTAAGCGTCGTGTCAACATGTACGACACGGTCAACCAGAGCAAGACGCCCTTTATCACCCACGTGGCCCCCAGCACCTCCACCAACCTCACCATGACCTTCAACAACCAGCTGAACACTGTGCACAGCCAGGTAAAAAAAAAAAAAAACTCCACCAGTCATCAGTATGCTCTGAGGCCACCACTGATAAGGAACTCCTTTGCTGTCAGATGCAAGAATGTAAATTATAGTAGCTGTGGTTTAGTGCATTTCCACAGTGAGGAAAGAAATGAACGTGACAATT